GCTGCCATTTCGAGGATGATGGCCAACAACCGTGGCCCCAAGCAGCACAGCAGGCGACTGATAGCGACAGTGGTGACCTCGACCATCCTGTATGCCGCGCCTATATGGGCTGAAGCCATGAAGACCGTTAGCTACAGCCGGCAATGCAAGTCTGTTTACAGACGCTATGCACTGCGAATTTCCAGTTGCTTTTGCACGGTCTCGGAAGAGGCGGCGCTAGTGGTATAGGGAACCGTACCGATCGAACTTCTGGCAGAAGAGCGAAGGACCGGAAACTCAGGCAGCAGAACCCAACGGAGTGATACTATCGCACGGTGGCAAGTGAGATGGGACAACGCGAGCACAGGCCGATGGACCCATAGACTCATCCCTGACCTGGTACCCTGGATCCAGCGTCGCACCGGGCAGTTGGATTTTCACACCACGCAGATCATAACTGGCCATGGATGCTTTAAGGCTTACCTGCACAGGTTCAAGCACGAAGCCAATCCATACTGCGACTACTGCGGTAGCGCAGTTATCGAGGATGCGGAGCATGTCTTTTTCGCGTGCTCTCTATTCTCGGCAGAACGAGCTGCGCTGGAAGCAGCCACGAATCGTCGCCTTACACCAGACAATCTAATCAGATGTATGCTAGAGATGCCCTCCAATTGGGATGCGGTTGCGGAAATGGCAGCCACCGTGATGCGAGAGATGAGACGCCGGGAGCAGAGCCGACGCACTGAAGACACCTGAAGGAAACCGGAAGAGCGGAGCCCTGAAGAGCGGCAACTGACCGCCAGCCGGCCCGTGAAGTATAGCTTTGCGGCAGTCCCGCGGGAGCGGGATTAAAAAAAAAAAAAAAAAAAAAACACACAACTGTATATATCCGGGCATGAAGCCAAAAGTTACGTTGCCCAAGAAGGGCCAAATTATATTTGAATTATGACCGAAACGAACAAGCGTATACATTTCTTGAAGACAGACTGTTGGGACCGCGACCTACGTCAACAACAAAAGCTGGCCGCAATAAAACAGTCGCGGCCGCGCTCAAAACATTTCCCCTCTCCGCTGCCGACGCAAGCCGACGCGACAGCGGCAGAGGCAGCGACATTTCTCCTCCAGGACGAAAACAAATACGATCGGCATGTAAATAAACACGATCGAAAACGTAAACAAAGACGAAAACAAAGCCGACGACCGAAAGCTGCGCTGCCCGCAAATTCTGGGCAGAATTAGGCCACGAGGGCTCTGCCCGGACTTGGCGAAGTTCACTTCCTCGACAGCGACAGACGCGATCGGTCTATTTTCCTCTCGCCGTGACTAAGTCCAAAAAGGGACACGAGTACTAAATCGGCTAAGTCCACAAAGGACACGCGAAGTGATCAAGGATTCTTCGGCTGTCGGACACGTGTCCCAGTCCAACCAACAACAGCGGGTGAGCCGGCCGAGAGCCAAAATGTCAGGGCCAGAGTTCTGGAGTGTGGCGTAGGGCCAGGTTAAGGACAGTGGTCATAGCTTAGCGAAATATTTATTTATTTATTTATTTATTAAGAATAGCAAATACCTGCCATTTTGAATCCATATCCTTACCTCAGACCGGATAAGGAGTGTTTTTTAATGATATGCTCCGACTCACATCAGGTGGTCAGAGGCAAGGATAGGCGTCTTAAAATATTATTTTTGTTAAAGTCTAATGACATTTCAAAATATAACAGAGAGTACATGTCGTTGTAAAGCGAACATAAAACGCGAAAAGGATCGTGTGCCTCGAAATTAGTTTTACAAATATCCAAAGCTATAGGCCGAAAGTAACGTGATGGCCTAGAAGGAACTGAAAAGCGTATTTGCTTAAGAAGATTACTAGAAAAAATATATCCATTTATTAATTTATGCAGGAACATCACGCCATGGCAGGTCCGACGATCCTTAAGAGAGGGCAGGTCCAGAAGGCGTAGTCTGTCGGCGTACGGAGGAAGGTGACGATGAGGGTCCCAGTCTAAACCCCGAAGAGCAAACAAAAGGTATTGTTTCTGTACCGATTCGATAAGGTCCTGATACTTTGCATATTGGGGGGACCATACACACGAACAATATTCGAGTATGGGCCGAACCAGGGATATATATAAGAGTTTTGTAGTGTAGGGATCATCGAATTCCTTAGACCATCGTTTTACGAAAGCAAAAACACCCTTTGCTTTACCAACAATTATACCGATGTGATCGGTGAAGCTCAAGTTGTGGGTAAATAGAACACCAAGATCCGTTACAGAGTGGATACGTTCAAGAACACTCGTGCCTAAGAAATAGTTAGCCTGGAAACAATTTCTGCGGTAAAACGACATGTATTTACATTTGGAGTTGTTAAGAAACAATAAATTGTGAGTGCACCAGGACATCATGTTGTTTAAATCAGCTTGCAAAAGCTGAGCAGAGTCAGAATTCACAAGAGGCAAACATAGTTTTACGTCATCAGCATACATCAAGACGTAAGAGTGGAGAATAACTTGGGGCAGATCATTTATAAAAATGCCAAATAGAAGAGGACCGAGGTGGCTCCCTTGAGGAACACCAGAAGTCACGTGAACAAGGTTTGAGAATGAACCCTTGAATGCAACTCTTTGAGTACGGTTCGACAAATAAGTAGAAATCCACTTGATCAACGTAACCGGAAAACCCAACAGACAAAGTTTCTTCAGCAGTAATTGATGATTCACCGAATCGAAAGCTTTGCTGAAATCTGTAAAGATAACATCGGTTTGTGTGTTATTTTTAAACGCGTTTCTAATGACAGCAACAAACTCAAGGAGGTTTGTAGACGTTGATTTACGTTTCATAAAGCCATGCTGTGAGGGGGACATTATTGAGCTACATTGGTGCTGAACCTGAGTAGTAATCAGAAATTCGAATAATTTGGGAATCGCACTAAGTTTTGCTATACCTCTATAGTGTTCAATATTAGATTTATTGCCCTTTTTATGAAGCGGAATGATAAACGATTCTTTCCAAACTTTGGGGAAAAACGAATGCTGAAGTGATAACTGAAAAAGTCTAGACAATGGTCTACATAATGAGCTGGCACAATTTCTCAGAACGCAGCTAGGTACAAGATCTGGACCAGAGGAAAAGGAAAGTTTGATTGTTCTGAGATTATGAAGAACATAATCTTCGCTGATTACAGGCATACAAATGCAATTGGAGTGCGGCAGTGGAAAAGAATACTCTGAGTTGTTATCAATATTAGTTTGTGAGTATGTAGTCTGGAAGAATTTTGCGAACAGGTTCGCGATATCAGGCTCATTGGAAGCGGAGGCATTATCGAAATAAAGACATGAAGGAAATTGTTGAGATTTCCGTTTCGAGTTTACAAAAGCGTAAAATTGCTTCGGGTTAGCCTGAAACTCAATTTTGCACCGATTTAAGTGGTTTCTGTAGCATTCAGAATTGTGTGCTAGGAAATTTGTACGAGCAGTTAAATATCTCGAATGGTCGACTTGAAGACCAGATTTGCTGTACTTTTTAAACAGTCTGGATTTCAGATTTTTTAGATAAGAAAGCCGGCGAGAAAACCAAGGGGGCTTATGAGAAATTTCTGGTGAGGGAAATGAAGGGACATACATGTCAAAAACTGAGTACATTATTTCATAGAAACGCTTAACAATGTCCTCTGTGGAGTTCAAGAAAGTCCAATCCGTTAAGGATAAGTGGTGGTTCATTTCTGTAAACTTAGCTTTTCGAAAGCAACGAAACGTTGCAGGCTTAGCTTCCGGACACAATAATAATGGAGTGGAGGCTTCGAGGGTTAGCTCCAAAGTGGGATGCTAAGCGTCCTCAGGACTAGAAAGAGGGTCAATTCTAGTGACGTAGGCATTGGCAAACTCAGAGACAAAGATGAGGTCTAAGACGTTATTACTGCAGTTCCTAACAAAATTTAATTGTCCCAATGAATGGTCAATGAGACCATGAATTAAATCGTGGGGTGAGGTGGGGACAAGAACATTTGAATCAGGTAAGGGCATCCAGGAAATAGAGGGCAGATTAAAATCACCCGTGACGATAAGGTGGTCATTAATACCAAGGGAAGAATGAATTTCTTGAATTAAGGATAAATGCTGCATATAAATATCAGTATCAGACCTAGGTGGAATATACGAGCATGAAACGTAGATAGAATAATCATAAACCTGGATGCGAACCGCCACAAACTCTATATCAGTGTCAGTTTTAGAAATGATATTGGAAACCAGATCGGATTTAACCGCAATGAGAACACCACCGCCTGTCCGTATAGGACGATCACGTCTAAAGATGGTATAGTTCCCTGAAAAAATCTCAGAGTCAGACACAGAGGAGTTGAGCCATGTTTCTGTGAAGACAATAACATTGGCATCGAAAGAGACACTATTGACGTGCAGCCTACTGAGCTTGCCAAGTAAACTACGAACATTCTGATAGTGAAGAACAAAAGAGTCTATTAGTTTTTTGGAGGCCTAGTTGAAGGAGTTTGAGGCCCGCGAGCACGAGGAGTACTTTTGTGTTCGAATTCATGAACAATTGCATGCTTAGGCCACACAGAAGGATCAAGAGCCTTAGAAAATAGTAGGTCAGGAATTGTAATTTTAAACGAAGATATATCACGTCTTTGCTTAAAATTGAACTTGGAGACACTAAATTCAGTAACAGAAACATTCAATTTGCTGCTCAAGTGGGTCTTAACGTCGCCCTCAGAAGCCCTGGATTGAGGCGGGAAACAAAAATCTGTTTTTTCGGAGCAACACCAGCCAAAGGCACCGGTCCACGTTTGGCAACGCCAGAAATTGTCGACTGTTGGGGGCCGCTTCTGGTAACGGCCGGCACCGAGATAGTGACCACCGGGGGAGCCACTGGGTTGGCATTTGACACCGCCGTCGCGTCGTTGATGGCAGCAGCACTAGAGCTGGAAAACAATCGATGGCACTATCGATACCATCGATGTTTCTTAAATTTTGTAAACATCGATGGTTCTTGGGCCACTATCGATTGTTTTTATTGTATCTGTGCATTGAGGACAACGTGTAAGAAAAAATTGGTTTATTTTATTTTTAACATTAATTTTATTAAATTTTTGATCACATGTAGTGAAATTTAAATAACTTGGAAGCGAACGGTGGTGTTGGTTGTAGGCGTGGTGCTACAAAATGGAGAAATTTGTAAAAAAGTAAGTTTTGTTTCTAAATGACGCTCTGCATACAAGTGAAAATGTATACATGTGTATGTATTGGTATGCAGAAGCATTGAAAAGACACCACTTTATTCATATATTTGTAATATTTTAGTAACATCAATATCAACTGTCAACAAGGACAATGAAGAGGAGCTTGATGTACAGCATGCAGAAAAACGCAAAAGGGGAACGTCGCTGGTTTGGCAGGTCTTCAAAAAATGCAAAGAGAGCAATACGGCGATATGCAATCAGTGCGGTTAGCAATATAAAACCGGTGGCAACACGACGAACTTAATGGATCACCTGAAGCGTATTCATCCTACGCTATTAAAAGAACAGCCTTTTGAAAAGGAAAATTGTATGTCAAAGTTCTTGGAGCGTGATATCCCATATTCAAATACTCCTGAAAAAAAAAAAAACGCATTGACAAGTTGGTCGTAAATATGGTCGCATCCGATGCCTTCCCCCTAAATGTGGTTGATTGTGTCGGGTTAAAAAAGCTGATCCATGAACTAGATCCGCGCTATAAAATGCCAAGTAAGACTCACCTGCGCAATGTACTTTTAAAAGATGAGTACAATAATTTAAAGGATAATTTAAAAGCACAACTGGAGCTTATCGAAAGCGTCGCATTAACAGCCGATGGCTGGACATCAAGAGCCAATGATTCTTACATAACTGTAACTTGCCATTTCGTAACGGAGTCTTTTGAGCTTGCTTCCAAAGTGTTGTCGACGAATCAACTAGTCACGCCAACAAACCATTCAGCTGTTAACATTGCTGATACTATCAGTAATGTTCTAAATGACTGGGATTTACTAGGTAAAGTCGTTTGCATTGTAACAGACAATGACGCAACAATGATAAAGGCATGCGAGCATCTCAAAATCGTGCATATTCCTTGTTTTGCACATACAATAAATTTATTAGTGCAAGATGTGTTAGAGCTACCATGCGTTTTAAACATTGTTTCAAAGTGCAAGCGTACAGTCGCATTTTTTAAATCTAGCAATGTAGCGTATGCGAAATTTAAAGAAGAGCAAGGCGTTAATAAGCCGTACGGTTTGATCCAGGAGTTGGAATAGTGCTCTTTTCATGATGCAGCGTATTTTGGCGACAAATGAAGTTATTTCGAAAGTTTTATTAAAAACGCGAAAATCTCTACCGCCGTTTACCGCAGATGAAATAACAATTATAAGGGAACTGATTGAGATACTCAATCCATTTCAGGATGCAACCGTATCCATTTCTGCAGACACAAAAGTGACTTTATCATTGATTATTCCCATATGCTGCGAGCTCCGCCAAAAAAATATCGGAAATGAACAGTTTCATATCTTTAGAGGCTAAACAAGTCGTCGAGTACCTAAAAGTCCGAATGCCAGAAAGATTTTCAAAGTACGAGACGCGAACAGCGACAAGGCTTGCAACCATTTTGGACCCAAGATTCAAAAAGGATGGATTCCTGGAGCCATCAAATGCTGAGGAGGCAGCAGAAGCCTTAGAACTGGAAGTATCCACTTTCTTATCCAAAACTGTACAGCGTCCACAGCCACAACCAACACCACCGCAACCAAAACGCTTTTCTTTTATGACCAAAAAGATGGAAGAAAAAGTAAAATCGAACGAGGGTGACGCCTTAATAATTTTGCGCCAGTATTTTGAAGTAGCACATGAAGGAGAAGGAATGAATCCACTTGAGTATTGGAAGGTAATAATCAATGTAATATGTAATGTTTTCGTATAACCAAAAAATTGTCTGTTTTTTTAGGCGCATACAAACGATAGAACAGCCTTAGCAATGCTATAAAAAAAAATCTTATGCGTGCCAGCATCTTCCTGCTCTTCAGAGAGAGCATTCAGCAAAGCTGGACAAAGTATATCGGACAGGCGATGCGCATTAAAACCCAACATTGTTGATAAATTAATGTTTTTAAATAAAAATTATGATCTCAAATAAAAAAATTCATAACTGTTATTTTTAGTTTTATTTGAAAACATCGATGTGTCATCGATGTTTTTTTCAAAAACATCGAAAACATCGATGGTCCCAAACATCGATTGTTTTCCAGCTCTAAGCAGCACGCGACGTGGATGCTTGATCGGTGTAGACAGGCTGCTGAACCGGGAGCATGGTGGCTTCGCCCCGTCCGAGAATGGGGACTGGTGCAGCAACTTCAGCAGAGGCTGCAGCAGGCAACGTGGACGCCTGGACAACGTTGACAGGCTGCTGATCCAACGGCCTGACAAGATCTTCAACCATAGAAGTTGTGATCGATGCTGCATCATCACCAGAACCGTTATCCACGGCTGCAGGCTTGGCACGTGGGGTGAACTGCATAAGGGGGCATTCAGGCTCTGGAAGAGATAAGAACTTATCAGACAGGTTGCTTCTGTTTTTGTTTGCGGGGTCACTTAGCAGTTTTAACGACTTGAAATGGTGTTCCGCTTTCTGGAAGCGAGTTGACAACTCCTTAAAGCCGGCCGCCAACGACTGAAACTCCAGGTGAGTCTTGTAACGTCCTGTCGTCAACGGGTAGTCAGCGGGACGTCCAGGGTCTGTGCAGATATATTTATTTGGTTCAGGCGTGGTTGCTGTAAGAGATTCCGACCCCGTCCCAGAGTAGAACGCTAGAGGATTATGCCGTAAATGTATCTTAATGTTTATTTACTTAAAAGGTACAATTTTCAATAATTTCATGCCGGATCTCGATTCTGGGGTACGCCGTAGTTCCGATTCGTCCTCCTCGTCCCGAGTGCGGCTGTCCGATAGGGGGATGCCGATAGTCCCGCCAGGGTATGGGCCTTGAAAGCCACCCAATAGCGAATGCGTTCGGACTCGAAAGTCAACCACGAGAGAATGCGTTCGGACTCGAAAGTCAACCGAACCCAGTAGTTGTCGGACTCGACAGTCAGCTCAGCGCCGTTTGTTGGACTCGAAAGTCAGCTCGGAGAAGTTCGGACTCGAAAGTCTGCAGCTTCGGACTCGAAAGTCAGCTCGAAGACGGTGGAGGGACTCGAAAGTCAGCTCGGAGAAGTTCGGACTCGAAAGTCTGCAGCTTCGGACTCGAAAGTCAGCTCGAAGACGGTTGTTGGACTCGAAAGTCAGCTCGAAGACGTTTGGACTCGAAAGTCTGCAGATTCGGACTCGAAAGTCGGCAGTGTTTTGGACTCGCAAGTCGGCAGAGAGAATCGGACTCGAAAGTCGGCAGTGTTTTGGACTCGAAAGTCAGCAGAGATCCTAACTACAATTTATAAATAGGAACTCAGGTTCCCAAAAAGTGACTTCGCTGCTAACTACTGGGGAGGTTAACTCGACCCAATCGCAGTCGGCTGCTAAGTGATTACTCCAGGGCCGTGGTCCGCTTTATATAGGCTCTGGCGCGGCTTCAGTGTGGCCGGAGTCCTGTGCGGGATTTTCCCCGAATAGTGTGGCCAGCCTCCGTTCGGTCCAGTGTGACCCTCCTCCACGATCAGTGGCGCGCGCGCGCATTCAGTTCAAATCATGTCGCCAATCCATTTCTTATGTCGCTAAGAGTTTCTATTTTATTCTATTTCCTACTATATTATTCCAATTGTGCGCGTATAAGCGTCACAGTCTGCCTCATGAAGACCCGCATATCGGATTTGATATGCAGGCAGCTCGGGCACGTCCAGTCCAATCCAGGATTTTCACGAATGCGGTCGGTGATACGCGATCCATTTTGCCCCAGATCGGCGCATCCAATGTGAGCGATATTATCGCAGAGCCAGCAGTAGACAGTGACATGCCGCGAAAAAATTTTTTGGCCGTTCGGGCACTTAGAGAAACAACACGTAGCCATTTTTGGAATAAAAAAGTACTTTATCCAAGTAAATTACGAATTGGATTAGTTTATTTGCACGACGAAATGGCCGATCAAAACGATTTAAACGGCATTGGAAAGGTAATTGTTGTAAAAAGTATATATGTACAGCATAAAGTACCACGCCCACAAATACGCCTTTTTAAAGGGTATCAAAGTGAAAAAATATATTTTTTTTCAAAGAAAACAATTTTTAAAAAATATTTTTTATTTAATTTTTTATGTTTATTTTTATGTATTTGCCCAAATAAAAATAAATTGAAAACTGAAATTTTTTTTTTTTTTTTAATTTACAGTGTAACCGCCACGCGCTACAGTTAGTATATTTCTTGGAATGTATGAAATTGTGTCGGTATTTTGGTATATTTCACCATGAGTAGCTTTGGTTTATGTCGTTGCATTTTCGCAGACGCAGCTCGACGCAGCCGATGAAAGTTAATTCTGGTCCAGGAAAGATCCACGTAACTTGTAGGCATAGTGTAGTCGATGGCTTTCATCGGCTTCAGAAGTTGTAGACTACCTTAGGCAGAAAAAGGTGAAAAAATGAACAACTGGCAGGTAGCGATTTACCTGTACAAGCCCAAACCAAAGTGCCGTTTTTTTTGGGATAATTAACAGTTAATGAATGTATCTATCATTTAAAGTAAAAACCATGACCATTGGTTTTATGGTTTTTGTGTAATATTACCTGAAAGTCGACCATTTTACCTTTTTTTTTGGTATGATGCAAAAAACAAAAGAAAGTTCAACTTTAAATGCTCATATCTTCTACAAAAAAAATATATATTAAAATAGATTTTATTGCAGATTCTGAATCCTTGGAAAATTGTCTGTCGAATAAGTGTGATTAAAATCGTTTTTGCGAACATGACTTTCTTGATTTTTGCAACGCTAATTGTTCGAGAGGCGCTACTGTGCGGCGGCGGACCATCAGCCACGTGTGTGCGGACGATTGAGACGGGTGAGTGATTAGGGTGAACCGCATTCTGGCCAGCGAGAACTACGTGCAATGAGAAATTTCTCAAAGGCCTCGATGCGGTGTCACTTAGAGTAGGCTAGGAAATCGATATACTAACGGCACAAATACTGACCTGCCCAAACTTAACCTCGAACACTGCGGAAAATTTTGTATAAATTAAGACAAGTCCAAAATGAAATGAAAAACATGAAAACCAAAGCGCAGAAATTCAAATAATAAAAATTTAAACACCGCTGTTTATAAATGAATCCGCCCTAGTGTATACTGTTTAATATGATTTTATTTATTTCCGAACAATTACATTTAATATTGTCGACCGCGCTGCGTTTGATTGCATTGAGAGCAAAAATGTGACTGATTAAGCTTTGGCTATGCACGTCATTCGATTATGCTAGTCGAAGACGTAAACAAGTTACAGTTAGGAGTTAAAAATGAATGGAAAAGTACTGGGCAGAAGCTTGCGCGCATGTGCAGCGATGCGCTGCTCGCTTAGCGACCTCTGATAAGGCGGCCTGCAGCGGCGATCAAAGCAAAGAGAGAGAAGCCCAATACAGGGTGTCTCGTTCCCAAACATACCGGCCCCCCTGAACGGTCGTTCAGCACAGAGGCAAGACAGCAATTTCGTAATTGGGCGTTTGTAGGATCCATGGGCCGTCTTCACTGTTACGACCCGGACCTTGTCGTCAGATCCTGCGTGCACCTCGCTGATGCGTCCAAGAATCCATTTAGAGGGCGGTAGATTAGGCTCCTTGAGTACAACCAGTATGTTGATCTTCAGATTCTCAGTTTCCAGATGCCATATTGTGTGTTATGTGCGAACTCTAAAAAAAGGAATAAACAAAAGGAAAATTATACAAAGTTGTTTACCAAAAGCCAGATGATGATCGGTATGTCCGATAACCGGTCATCGATGACCCGTGAGTCCAGGGAGTCGAGCAACTGGGTCCAATACGGAACTGGTTCCTTAAACCGGATGACTCCCAAAAGGAACCAAAGTTTGAACCCGAGAAATTTTGAGTGGTTTTTGGGATTAAGAGAGGCTTAGGAAAAAGGCAAAGGTGAAGTAAAGGGCGAAAATCCGTGGCAGCAGGCGGTTCAGTGAGCAGAAAAATTACGTAATTAAAAAAAACGAGTTTCTACCAGTGAGTTCCGATAATATACTCTAGTGTGAACAAAGATACGAGTTTAATTAATTATAGAATATTCCGGAGTGAATAATCCTGGACCAGGAACGCTATTTGGGGAGAAAACAGGAAGATCAGCCACCAGGAAGAAGACTACTTTTCGAGGAGAAAAATTGGCCACTCCTTCCTGGGTGGCCACAGGTTTTTATCCCTAAATATAATTATAAGAACAAATACAACCGCCAGAAAAAAAAAGGAAATGTAGCTCACAGAAAAATATAAAGTAATTTAAGTCATATTTATTCCACATATCTGTTAATTCATCTAAAACATTACTCGTCATATGATTGTCAATTAATATTTATTAATGTATTTATTTATAAATGTTCCTTGTATGAAGTCCTTCGGTACCGTGGGTAGGATATTTCTATGTTAGAATTTAAGAAAGAAAATGAAAATATAGTGAAGTGATCGAAATGAAGTTCGAGTAGACATTCGTGTTGGGGGGGATGTGATGACTTGAGCAGATACGATCCACTACAGAAATTTGGGAGATGTGTCGGAGGATACACTCATGGTTGGGAGGGACTCCAAGGACTACGGATGAGCCAGGTAGTCCAATCCAGAAGTTCCAAGAATCCGTTGCAAAAATATTAGCCGTTGTTTAAAATTCCATTTTGTTTTTGTTGTTGTGTCTGCTGCGTGGTATATTTGTGGTCGTTCCCCTCCTTGAGAGAGACTTTGCCTAGCCGGCAACGAACGCGCGAAAAGCTGGACATAACATGTGCGTTCGTGAAGCGATGTCAGGTACTCCATATGCCACCGTTTCCAAAAACCTTGGACCATAGCTTGCAGCTAATTCCACCTCTCCAGTCGATTGATTTGCATATCCAGACGGCAGGGTTCAGAGATGGCAGTGAAAGTATATACTATATAAAAGACTATATGCAAAGTTTCATTTAGATAGCTTTAAAACTGAGGGAAACTGAGTAGAAACAGAAAGACGGACAGATGGACAGACGGACATGGCTAGATCGACTCGGCTGTTGACGCTGATCAAGAATATATATACTTTATAGGCTCGAATATGTCTCCTTACTGCGTTGCAAACTTCTGACTGAAATTATAATACCCTGCAAGGGTATACAGGGTGCGCCATATTTTATGTCGGTATGTAAACATTCAATATCTTTGAAAATAAACAACCGATGTATGAGATATATTTATTTAATGTGGTTCAGTACAATTTCTTCAGACTAATTTTTGAAAACAACATCAATCAAGTGGACGCCTTTATTGGACACGGCAAAATGTGTCTTTTTTGCTGCATTACCATCTGTTTTACTAGCATCTGAGGTGGTATAGCGATGATTTTTGCACGAATATTCGCGGTTTGCTGGCGAAAACTGTGCTCTTTAAATATCCCTACAAAAAGAAATCCGGAGGCGTAAAATCTGGAGATCTGGGTGGCTTATCGCCTTTTTTGAGTCAACACAACTGAACGACTATTTTCAATGTAAAGAGTCACTATTTAAGGGGGGATATACATGTAAGCGGTCAAAATTTGGCCATTTTTTGTGAATTTTTTTTTATAAGAAATAGTCAAGCAATCGTCGTGAAACTTTGGATATAGTTAAAAGTAGAATCAGAGATGATAAAAAAAATTAGTTATAAACAATATTTTACAAAATGGCGGACTAATGGAACATATGCCGTAGCGCCTCGAGCTTTGAGTTGCCGTGCTATGGACACGATAGAGCTCTTAATTCCTGTCCAAAATCCGTAAACTAAATTTTTTTGTATTCATTACACCTTTATCTTCTATTTGAACCTAAAAAACCAAAAAGAAATCAAGGCAAAAAAAAATAAATTTTGATTTGAAGAAAAAAATGTTGTGAAAAAATAGTTTATTATTTAAAGAATATAGTGTGTCAGTTTCATTATCGAATTCCAACTCTAAGTGCCTCAAATCAAGTATGCACGCAAGGTTCACAAGTGTTAACGTGGGCGCATCAAAAACTTTAAACGTCTTTTTCTCAGCTTCTAATTTTTGCATTTCTACCTATGCTATGGACACGATTCACAAAAAACTATGTAACATATAGGAGTGAATCAAAAATTATTATGATCAGCATGAAATTATCTTCTATTTGAACCTACATGGTTGTTATAAAACAGAGTATTACTATTTTTTAAGAGGGTGGGAAGTGAAAACTGTCCACCTGAAAATGACATTTTTTCCTTCAAATCAAAATTTATTTTTTTCGTCTTGATTTCTTTTTGGTTTTTTAGGTTCAAATAGAAGATAAAGGTGTAATGAATACAAAAAAATTTAGTTTACGGATTTCGGACAGGAATTACGAGCTCTATCGTGTCCATAGCACGGCAACTCAAAGCTCGAGGCGCTACGGCATATGTTCCATAAGTCCGCCATTTTGTAAAATATTGTTTATATCTAATTTTTTTATCATCTCTGATTCTACTTTTAACTATATCCAAAGTTTCATGACGATTGCTTGACTATTTCTTATAAAAAAAAATTCACGAAAAATGGCCAAATTTTGACCGCTTACATGTATATCCCCCCTTAAGCGTGTTTTTTCGGAGTAAAGCGGTTCATGATTAAGATTTTGTTAAACTAGTGTTTTCAACACTAGTCTACTCAAGTCAATCGGTTCACTAATGACAAAGTTATTCAACGTTGACATACCGACATAAATGACGGCGCACCCTGTAAAAATGTTATTTTCTTTCATTATTTTAGCAAACCCCCCCCCATTTTGAAAGGACAAAAATTGATGGTTAATTTTGAATGGTATCCTAGCAATTCATCTAGAACTTTTTTATTTTTATTTTAATATACAAGTTTTTAAGACATTTTATTAAAACAGTATTTTTTTTTAACTTAATAATAATAAAATAAAATAATAATAAAAATAATTCTATACATTTTAATCGATACATTTTAGTAACACAATAACGGTTGATCTGTTTAAATATTTCAAAGAAGACTTTGGAACACAAATACATACATATGTATGTATATGACCTAATAACATTTATATTGATCACGAGTGATTGATTATAGGAAAGTATACTAACATATATTTAGTTCAAAATACATTATCATATATATGAACAAAAACTTTACTTTTATTTAATAAAACATATGTATCTGCTTACAATATAATTAAAGGCGCTTAATTATTATTTTTATTTATATCCCTCAATTATAGTGCTGAATTATATGAAACCTCAACCATAAAACTCATTTTGGGGTAAATTGGTTTGAATCGTGATATAAAGCCAATGTTCCTAAAACAACCAGCTGATTTTCAGCTTATACCTGCGGCTAAATACTGATTCTTGTAATAATATGCACAAACACCTACAACAATAGAAACAGCAGTTGTTACAAGTACCGACTTTGAGGTTAACACATTTGGGAGCCATTGGATTAAACCCAAACTTTTGCTAGCAGTCACAGGCCGGGAAGTCTTTTTTCGCCTTTCCAAAATTCTTTTTTCTTCTGCTTTCCGCTGTTCGTTCCTAGTAAAATAAAAATGTTAATTTTTGTAAAATATGCATAAAATATAAGTGCATTTAAACCCTCTACAAAATAGCAAACAAATTTGTCACAAAAATTATGCAAAAAATTCAAAACTAAAATAAATATTTTATAATTTTTTTAATTTTTTAACAACGAATTGAACCCATCTTTTAATGCCGAAGTTGCGGAAATATTTTTAAATAAAATATATATAGGTAGGTTCGTTCCAGAGGCCTTAAACTTTAAAAGGAGATATTATTTATATATATACCATTGCAATTGATTTCAATTTTAGTCAGACCTTTTGAAACGCAGTGGAGCATATGTATTCCAGAAAAGGTTTAATAAGAATAGCTAAATTGATCTAGCTAAGTTTCTATGTATCTAGACAAAATTAAAATCCAAATAAAAACTTGCTTAAAAAATGTATAATTATTTCTACCAAAATAACAAAGAAATTATAATTTATTAATAATAGATTAATATGTTTCTTAGTTATATTAATAAATTCAATACCATATAATAGAAGAACGTTTAAACCATTTTGTTTTAATGTTTGTATTGAAAAATATTTAGAGGTATAGGAGTTTCATTTAAAATTGCATGTTTCAAAATGACACTTTTCAATAGACCGCTTTAAACTTTTTGATTGTCTTACATTGAATACCAAGCCATGTCACCTCCAACAAGCCACAACTTTGTAAATTTTTGTATGATCAATAAAAACATTACGAAATATACTTAAAACAATATAATAAACGACTAGTTGGCAATTTTCCCGTTTCATTGAAGTGCTCTTTGATAAACCACATTTCTTGCTTTAAGTGGAAATTTTTTTTTTAAATATTTTTTATTTAGCATTTGTAATTGCAGACTTGAGGTCATAGTCGTCTTCGATTATAAAAATCAAAAGCTTAAGTTTTTATCTTTATTTATTTATTTATATAAAGATAACTAATAGTTTAAACTAAAAGTTAACTAAAAATTAATGAGCATTGGCTGCTATGGCCTTCCGCTCTACTGAGTATTAACAAAAGGAGATGTGTATGGTACATGTTATAAATTAAATGTTATGTATGAGATTGGTTTTATGTAGAGTAGATGATTTTGTTGGAGTTTGCTGCTGTTGGATTCGAAAGGAGATGGGTTGGGTTATCGTGGGAAAAGCAAATGGTTCTAATATGTGATTTGACTAGATCGACTCGGCTGTTGATGCTGATCAAGAATATACATAAATACTTTATATGGTCGGAAATGACTGCTTCACTGCGTTGCAAACTTCTGAATATAATTATAATACCCTGCAAGGGTATTGAAATATGTAAAACGACCAGGATACTAATTTTTTCTACAACTTTTCCAATCGTAATATTCATATATTTTGCATGCAGACGCCCATTTCCGCCCTCATAAATCGAGAAAACTAGTAACAAAGCAATAGTGGATTTAGTTTAAATTAAACCATTTTTCTTGAAAAGTCGTTTTCTAAAATTTTAGTAACATCGGATAACAAACAATAAAGACAATAAAGTTTCATCTAAATTTGAATTGGCGGAGCCAATGAGTATATCTAAACAAGTTACTAGCAACATGTTTTTATTTAGATCTTTCACAACGTGTTACTAGTAACAATTGTCTTTCACTTTTTTATTTTAAAAATTAAGGTCTCTGAGATCCCTTGTTTCACAAGGACGGATAGACATATGTACATAGCTGAATCGGCTGATGATATTTATCAAGAATATACAGAGGTAGTCAAAAGTACTTACACAATGAAAAATAATTTGCTTATCCCAACTTTTCTTAGTTGTTGATAATTTTGTTGTTGATTGATTTCCCTGAAATAGTTTTTACCGCGTAGCTTATTCAATGAAGCAACCCAAAAAGTAATGCGAACGGCTTATGGGACAATGCAAAAGCAAAGCAAAACAAAATATGTAAGCAACAGAGAGCGGCATTGAGTATGATCGTTCCGGATTGATTGATCAACAACACTCAAGCCGATCACAACTCAACATAGCGCTTTGGCCACAATCGATCACAATTTAATTTTCTATGTTGTCAGAAACTCTCTTCACCGATTTGCCCTTCATAATTGTGCTAGTTACGCTACCAATTATAAAAAAACAAACAAAAAAGCGTTTACTTATAAATCATATTCATCTTATTTAGTTTTGTTTAATTTGAATATTATTTGCTTTTAAAAGTAAGTTCCTCTATTAATAATTATGCAAACCATGATCTTTCAGAATATTAACAAATACAGACTGTTTTCAAGTGATATTAACGAGTGCCACATCACCAAATCGGAAATAGGATAGACTACTAAATACCTGGCGGACCCACCTTCAAATCTAATGGGTAGTTGTACCTTTTTATTTTTATGTTCTTGTGGTGTATTTAATAAATATGTTTTAAAAGAACCTTGTTTTTAATGTGAAGACTAATAAACATTGTTCCAAGATTTTCAAGCTTTTTAGTATACTTTACAGAAAAGAAAAGAAGTTTTCCTTGGTTTACCTGAGTAATAAAATTTAGTTTACAGACAAGATACAATCCGATATTCACTATATTTTGTCATAGGTAGTGTGTTCTATCTTTCTTCTTTATTCCAATAAGCCTCTTATGCTATTTTAGGGATGATTATCAAATGAAGAATTTTTTTCTGAGTGTTCCATTGAGTTGTCTACATTTTGTATAACTTAACGCGTAGATTTATGACCTGTTTGACTTTAAAATTGCATATTTTTGCAATTAATTATTTTTCGTTAAATTGTAGTCAGTTTTCCAAAGAAAATTTTGTATGATTTAAAATATTTTAGACTAAAATATTACATTCTAACTTTTTAACGAGTACAGTTCCAATTTTGGCAACTAATTCCATAATATTCAGCATTTTAATCTTTTTTTTTTTTGTAAATTATGCATCCGGAATCTTCTTTAAACTTTAAAAAGAAAAAAAACAGTGACAATTCAAAAAATTTCCGAGAATAATTAATTATTAGCCTTGTGTAAATACTTCTAACGCGAATAAAACGAGTGTAATTACTTTTAACAACTTGTCTTTTGCTTTAAGGGGGACATCTAAATAACATTTTGATAAAATCGAACAATTTTTTTCGCTTAAAAATTCTTTAGGGTCTTAAAAATAAAATACCAAAATTTTCCATTCTGCGGCGATGCCTCACAGGTATTAAAACTTTAAACGCGTTTTTCTCAAAACCACTTTTCATAACTCGAACAAATCTTAACCGATTGATCTGAAATTTTTGACAATAATGCGTATGTCGATAGATAAAGGTATTTTGAATAACCTTTATCTATCGACATACGCATTATTGCTTACTTTTTTTTATCAACAATTTTTTTTTTCGTGAAAATTTTACTTTATTTTTTTAATCACTCACCATTTTGCAAAAAATCAATATATCGCAAAAATCCTATATGTTGATGAATAGAAACTAACCAAACTTGATTTTTTGTTCTAGATCAAAAATTAAGGACGTTAGCTTTCCGGCCACGGATCCCCTTCAACAAAAAAGGGCCTACGAATAAATGCTGGTACAGCCGCCATTTTGTTTTCGATTTATTAAAAAAAAATTATTTTGTACTTCACATATAATGTAAAACCTACTTTAAAAATTGTCGATTGGCTTTTTCAATTGGCCAAAAAAATCCAGAAAATCAACTTTTTTTTCCCAGTTACTCAGATGTCCCCCCGTATGGGTCCATTCTGGTTAGTTAAAAAAAATAAAATCGAAATTTTATAAGTGTCTAGAACAATCATGCCTAGTCCATTACTCTAGCCGCTCGCATTGTTTTTGTATTTGCTCCTAGGCATAGGCCAAGCAATCGCCGTATACATGCACGACTCACTCCATAAGCAAAGCAGATTACACTAACAATTTTGCGAATTCTCTTCATTCTCCGCGTCTTCGTTGATCTCGGCAACAACACTTTCAAAGGCTTCGCCGTAATTCGCTTGTCCGAATGTAAATTGTTGTTGGATCGTCGAAAAATGTACATCGCGAAAAATCAGTTGTATTTTGCGTTGCAGGCAAGATGTTTGATATTGCAGAAACTAATTTCTTTTTTTGTGAAAATTGCTTTTGTGAGCCCCAATGCATTGTTTGCTTTAACGTATTATTAAATAAAAGGAAGTTTAATTTTCAAAGGCATTTCACAACATATCATTTACTTTCATTTCTTTGAAGTAAAAAAAAAAACGTTTGCGTAAATGAATTTGTGTTTTCATGTATGTGTATTGTTGAAGAATATCATATTAAAACGGCAAATCGAAATACGTAATAGTTTAAAAGTTATGAGCCTCCGAGCCGGCTGATTTAAAGGAAGTACAGAGCATACATAAAACTTTAAACGCGTCATATCTCAGTCAATTTTTAACGAATCTTGACGTTTTTTTTAAATACGCGTAATGAAGTTGCCCATGGAATAGACTACAATCACATTGATAGCTTATACATTGGATTTTTTATAAACAAAACAAATGAAGAAAATTTTTACGAATACGAAAAAAAAAAATTTAAATCGCCATTTTGTTAATTTTTATTGAATTTTTTTCTAGTCTATTTCATAACCACACTCATACTAAACAAGAACATCTTTGATTTTTTTGTTTTAGGCGATTTTTACGTCCTGCAAAACAAACGGTCGCCGGAGGGGTTCCGTTTTTGGGCATGGGCTTACGGCGCCCTGTGTCCTGCTTCAGGACATGCTCTAAAATTTTTGAACTTTTTGCTAAATAATCTCTAAGCTATGATTATATGTGACAAGTTTGAACTTTCTATCTTTTTCTTTGTCCACAAAAAATTCCTAAAGATTGCCTATTCTTTGGCACAACTAACCAGAATGGACCCTTGATCATTGTTCCATGAACCGTTAAGTTCGGCATTACTTTTGCTTCTGCGTAGATCAGGCTACGCGATAAAAACTTTTTCAGGGAAATCGATCAACTAAAAGAACTTGGAATAAGCAAATTATTGTTCGTTGTTTATGTACTTTTGACTACCTCCATATGTGTATGTACTTAATATTTTGGACGGACTTTGCCAATCCACCCAATTACTTATTACCCCTAACAGTCTATACTTACTCGTTTCGGATCATTTCATCAACATCTTTTTCTATTACTGTTAAGCTGTACTTATTAAATAGAGTACTAGAAGTTTTTAGAAGCTCTTCAAATGGTAAATCTTCCGGAAGCTGAAAAAATGTTGCTTTACTGTCACTTAAATAATATATGTATTTTGGATAGAAATCACATACCCTGGATAGGAGGCAATGCACGGAAGCCATATCGCAATCCTCTTTCAAAATTTCATTAGACCGATAAAGTAAAATAGCGGCAGTTACAAAGATAGGCGTGTAAATGGGGGACGCTAAGAAGTAGTCATATAAACGGACAACGGATTTGTAGGAATTTAAACTATGCCCAAACCAGGTCAAATACCATGGCAAAGCAAACAAAGTGCCCACCGTAGACTTTTGCAAAAATGTATAAAGTTCAGGGTTTTCAAACTTAACGACAGGCCAAATAAACATAAGGCGTCTTTGCGTGGCTTCCATTGTTTCTTGCATGCATTCTGAAAAATGCGTTGTAGACAGCTGCTCCATTATGGCATAAGCAACTTCTTCTCCTGCAACTAACAAAAATGTTACTGCAACATCATGATAGCCTTGGTAGTAACGCAAATTAGGATACTTTTTAATAACGCGTAGTATAAGTACAGTTAGTTGATCCTGAAGGGCAATTCGTTGTTCATAGGGAATGCCCGGGGGAAATCGTTTTAATGACCGATTTACATCTAGCACAACCTGATTGTATTCAGGATGATTCTGCAAAGCATCGAGAGAAGGAGCTGGCTGTAAATTGTTTACATCCACTCCTGCCAACTGAGGCCATAAAACCCTTCGTATATTATCATTTACCAAACCGTGGGATGACAAGGAAAATTTAATAAGTACATCGAGAGAAATGCGTTTGTCAATACTTTGCGTAATTATTGTCTCTATCGCCAACCGTTTTCTCAGCTCACTGTCACTTTCGGGCGCTGTTAAATTAAAGGTTTAAATTAGTATTATAAGTTCATATGCATGTACATATGTGTACAATTTATTTGACAAACCATTTTCAAAACTAAGAGGTGGCTGATCGATTTGAGTACCAGCATTGCTCATTGTTTAAAATTGAAACCTTGCTGTGGATTTAGGTTAAGTTTCTTTAACAAGATACTGGAAACGATTTTTAGCGAAATGCAAAAATATTATCTGAATAACTTGTTTATTTCTACTATTGAGCATCAATATATCGATGTATAAAAATACCAAAAAAAAAAAAAATAGCCTGTTCATACCTATACTTATATTTTGTGTATTTATGCGAGGTAAAATGTGTGTGCATAAAGACTAATGTATTCGGAAACATACAAATGATGACTATGCTTACTTTTAAGTTTAAAGTTTTAACAAAACAACATGATACCGCTACATTTTCGCAATAAATGAGTCGCTGCCAGCGTCTATCGATTGTAAATATATAGATAAAAAACAATGAAAATAAGAACGTATGGCTTAATGACACAGTTATGTTATCTATATGTTATTTTTATAACATATTTTTGTAATCCGACTACGGTGAAACCAAGGACAGTAGAGTGTATAAGATAAGTAACGTCATACGATTTTTTTGCACAGGATTTTTTTGTGCTGGCTTTTGAACTGGCTCCAGGCTCTCTTAAATTTTGTTCAAAAGCCAGCGAAGAGAGCGCTCTAGAGCCAGCCGTTCTCTTGTACGCATTCAGAGACGCCGCCGGGTGTTTGTGTGCAAACGGGCTTCATGAAGGCCAATTTCGCTATTAAATTAATTTTCTATTTAAACATTTCTTTAATTTTATATACTTATTGATTTATAAATGAACTTTTTATAATGTATGAATCATAATAATATATTATTAATTTATTAGTCAATTGAATTAGATAATTGTAAATATATATGTAATTATGTATGTATTTAAATCAATTATTTGTATTATTTTGCATATTTATTTACCCTGCAGTACCACATTTCATCAATAGGCCTTTTCATCAACATTTCATCAACGCGCCGACTGCGACGCCGACAGAATCGACGCTCTGCCGACTGCTACTTGAACCCGAACTCCCTTCGGAGACCCGAACTCCCTTCGAGTCCGACTTGTCGGTGCATGCAAAAAAAAAAAACAAAAACAATTTGCATGGACTTCGTTTTTTGAAGTCCGAAACAAAGTAGATGACGCAATTAAAATAGATTCTCGAAGGTTCGACTCCATATTTTCGGAGCAGCGGTTTTCGGGTTCGTCTTGCTTCTTCTTATTCCCTTTGCATTAGAAGTTGAAGTGCTCTGCACTGCAGAAGTGTCGTGTGTTTCATTAATTAATAAATAAATTCTTAAATAAATTCGTTCCGGGCCTTATTGGAATATATAAATAGGTGAGTAAAGTGAAGTGTTTATAATTAAATAAAAGCCTATGTGTATTATTTTATTTATTATATATTATATATATTTTTTCTTTTCTGACTGCAGTAATGGCCAACATATTGAAACGAGGATCTTTTGGGTAAATTCTATTTAATTTTATTATTATGTATTCCCTTGATTAATTATTATTTTTTTGTAGATGCAATTGCCCAAGTGGATAGAACTGAGCCTCCAGAGAAGTTACTGCGTAAAAAATTTGGTCTACGTCAATAAAAAGCGGAAAACCGAGGAGCAAACAGACCTTGAGGCTTTTCAATATATGGATTTAATGTTAATTGTTTATATTTGTGTCTTAGTGTTGGTTTAGAATTAGTAAGAATAAATAATATCAATAAAATTTCAAGAATTTTACTTTATATATGAAAAAAAAATCATCAATAATTCATCGATGAATCATCATCATTTCATCAATCAAATGTTGATGAAATGTTGATGAAATGTTGATGAAATACTGATGAAATGTTGATGATTTGTTGATGAATCATCAACATTTCATCAGTATTTCATCACCATTTCATCAGTATTTCATCAACATTTCATCAACATTTCATCAGTATTTCATCAACATTTCATCAACATTTCATCAGTATTTCATCAGTAATTCATCAGTATTTCATCAACATTTCATCAGCCTTTCATCAGTATTTCATCAATAATTCATCGATGAAATGATGCTTAAATGTTGATGAATTGCTGTTGATGACAGCCTATGACATGCCCATGTCAAATTCATCAGTAATTTGTATGGCAATTCATCGATGAATCATCAACAAAACGCTTTGGCTATTGATGAAACGTTGATGAAATGTTGATGAATCGTACTGCAGGGTAATAATAAAATTATATAATATACAGTGGATCGCAGCTTATTTCGTGCAGTCAAGAAACGAAAATTTAAAACGTCCCTGTGGCTAAACGATTGAAGATAATCCAAATATTTAAACGCAGTACTTTTAGTACTTGTACTAACATTTATACTGAACAAAGACAATCTTCCTAATTATAAAAACGATTTTGTATTTTAATAAAAACTAATTTGAGGGCTTTTTTCATGCCGCAGCTTATTTCGTGCACTTCGTTTGATTCAACTTATTTTTATTAATTTAATATAAACAATTTTATGTGACCTCTTATTTTATTCTGAATACCTTTCAGATGATGTTTCAATTGAATTAACTAGTTTTTTTAATGTTTCTAGATTAATTTTAATCAATTCCTCTAAGGCACTACTTTTTTGATAATTTTGGTCAAAACTTTTAATTTTTGGGATGGCTAGTCCAATATTTGCTAAAAATTTTAAATAATGATTATGTCTGGGTGACATTGATGTTGTTTTTTTTGTCATTAGGACCGTTTTGTGTGAGCTAAAGCTTCCGAAAGTCCGATAAGTAGTAGAGACCGCTGTACTAATAGTTTTGCAAACTATCCCGTGTGACCACGTTTTCTACATTTTGAAAGAAGTTAACATTTTATATTGAAGGGAACATATTGGTTTCCAAGATCCTGCCAAAAAAAATTTGGTTTCCTACTCTACAGGAAGCCATTTAGGCCCAAATAAGACACGATCGCCGCCTTGCTTCAGAGTAGCTTGCAAGTGTTTGGTTTCTAGCTCAATATTGGGTCTCCGCCAATAATTTATACTGTCATCAGGATTAAATTAGTTAAACTTTTACTTATTGGTAAAGATAAAAACATTCCAAAAGAAAATCGGACGAATTATAAGCTCCTATGAAAAGTTTTGATGTTGCTCCTGTGCTGGTTTCCTTATAAATGGCTCTTTTCATACTACTAGAGCCTTATAGATGTATTTTTGCAACAAGAGGCGTATTAAATCGGCACTACACTTGTTTCTTATTTCGTGCTCTATCTATATAACAAATTTGGCAGACGTTTGTTAATGATTTCACTTTTTTTTTGGTCCATGTAATGAACTTAATGTTCACTGAAAAATGTATTCGGTGCATTTCGGCCCTTATGTTTGGCCCAATCTTCACGGACAAACGATTAATTTATGTTTTTATATATGTGCGATTTAAGAATAACATTTTCGTAGTACCACGGTGATTTTTTTTCTGTCTTAAATTGAAAGAGAACTAATTATCGTATTTTAATAGAAATTCGCGATCCTATTTTACTTATTTCCCCATAACTTCATATTTTAGTGTGATCAGGCCAAGAAACTTTTAAAATATACATAAGCTACCAATACCAAAGCCAAAATACAAAAAAAAATTAAAAATTAAGCCAAAAATTCATTGTTTCTTACATTTTAACTAGCTGCACGAAGTAAGCTGCGGCGTGAAAAAAGGTCATAAATTTGTTTTTTTAATATTATTGTTTGTTCTTATTAATTGGGAAGATATTTTTTTTTAATTTAAAATGTAGGATATCTGATTCAAAACACTGCATTTAAATTGTTTCGATATCTCTTATGGTAGAGCAGCAGTGATGATTTATACTTTAGTTTCTTGACTGCACGAAATAAGCTGCGATCCACTGTACATACATACAGATGAAAATAAAATTTAGTTAACCGATTTTCTGGATTGAACTTGGTATACAAATACAATCCATATTTGAGATCAGCTGTTTTTGCTGCCGCTACTATCGCACAGTATCGCCTTTTCTCATTTAGCGTTGCAAAAATCATATATTTTGAACCAAATAAGATAACCTAATAATTTAAACGGACAGATAATTATTGTAAAATATATATATGACGACGATCCAGCATCGGAGTCCTCAACTGGACTTTCGGCGAAACGTTTCCTGGCGCGTGGCATGATTCTTCAATTATTCAACCAATCTGCTTGCCACTCAAAAACGCTGTGTCATTCATTTTCAACTCCTCTTTACCTTGCAACACACACGCAGGTGTGGTGAGTTCTCAGAAAACAATATCCGTCTCTTTCATACCCACGCCCAGGCTACGTTAGCAAAACAGTGTATGCCTCGCACGAAAGAACAGCGGAGCAATAATAAATTAAACAAGTGTGTACCCACAAAAATCGTTATAATTTGAATTAACAAAATAATCTGCGACACGGCCTTCCTGACATATCTCACGTCCTCGTGAGTCTATAACATAACGGTTTTACAAATTCATTCTCTTATCTTCATTCAAGTTTCTTTCTTCATTACATTTCTTCTTCTTTCTTCATTACATTTTCTTAGATCATTTCAGAATCAGAATCAAACAAACTATTTTAAAGTTTTCTCTTAGACTTCTTATTTCTTACTTTTAAACAACTTATGCCATGAGATCCGGATTACCACCAACTTAAGTCCAAACAATTCATTCGTTTTCAAACATCATGCCAACCACTAGCACACAGTCATCCACAAGATAAACTGGCCAGTCAATAATTGAGTTAGTTTAGCCCACAGCTCATTTCCAGACAAACCGGCCATCCGAAATAGCTCGCAATTTAGTCCACAGGCCGGCCAAATAACAATTCATCGAACGTTACCAAAATTTCAGCCTTCCTGGAACAAATGGCGAACCACATAACTCGGGCACCCACCTGCACATAAAGTTCTGAAACCTGGAACTTATTCGGGCGTGTCATGACACGTCTTCATTCTACTTCAAAATCACAGCCCTCACCGGCTTGATCTGTAGCACCTTTATCACCACCTTCATTATTCAATTCCGTGGTCTCTTCATCACCACCTTCATCATTCAATTCCGTGGTCTCTCCATCACCACCTTCATCATCCAATTCCGTGATCTCTTCATCACCACATCATCATCCAAATTCCGTGGTAATC